GAGTTCAAGACCAGCCTGGCCAACATGGTGAAACACCATCTCTACTAAAACTACAAAAATTAGCCAGGTGTGGTGGCACATGCTTGTAATCCCAGCTACTTGGGAGGCTGAAGCATGAGAATGGCTGGAACTGGGGAGACGGAGGTTGCTGTGAGCTGAGTTCTACCATTGCACTCCAGCCTGGGTGACAGGGCGAGACTCCGTCCCCTTGCCCCCCAAAATAAATAAAATGGTGGCCAGGTGGTGGTTCACACCTGTAATCCCAGCACTTTGGGAGGCTGAGGTGGGTGGATCACCTGAGGTTAGGCGTTTGAGATCAGTCTGGCCAACATGGTGAAACCCTGTCTCTACTAAAAATACAAAAATTAGCCAGGCGTGGTGGTGGGACCCTGTAATCCCAGCTACTCTGGAGGCTGAGGCAGGAGAATCGCTTGAACCAGGGAGGCAGAGGATGTAGTGAGCCGAGACTGTGCCACTGTACTCCAGCCTGGGCAATAAGAACGAAACTCTGTCTCAAAAAATAATAATAAATAAATTTTTAAAATGGCATTTTTGCTACAAGAGACTATTTCAAAGATATTTTCCTTATTAGAGGGAAATGTTTGAACTTTCCTGACATCTATTGATCTAAAAAAGTACCTTAAAAAAGAAGCCCACTAAGTCCAGAAAGTCAAAATTACTTCTGGTGACTACAAATTCACAAATACTAAAAATTCATAAATACCATCCATTTACACTTATGCCGACTGGATCCCAACAATTTTTAAAGGTTTATTCTGTCCATGGGAAAAGTAAACTCAGATCTGCCAACTTAAATAAACATCACCTTGCCGTGAGGTTGCGGCCATATTTTGCCATGTGTAGAAAAGTGATTTAAAGATAAGAAGCCAAAGGATAGAGATAAACAATTAGGAATCATCTATCCTGATGATTTAGAACCTCAGGGAACAAGTATTAAGACAGGTCTCAGGCCAGGCACGGTGGCTCCTGCCTACAATCCCAGCAGTTTGGGAGGACAAGGCAGGCAGATCACCCGAGGTCGGGAGTTTGAGACCAGCCTGGCCAACACTGGTGAAACCCCATCTCTACTAAGAAATACAAAAATTAGCCGGCTGTGGTGGTGGGCACCTGTAATCCCAGCTACTTGGGAGGCTGAGGCAGAAGAATTGCTTGAACTCGGGAGGTGGAAGTTGTAGTGAGCCAAGATCACACCATTGCACTCCAGCCCGGGCAACGGGAGCGAAACTCCGTCTCAAAAAGAAAAAAAAAAAAAAAAAAGGCAAGTCTCATTTATCATTTTCCCACATAATCCAGAAGACTGAATGTTCAGCAAAATCTCCAGGCTAACAGATGATTTTAAGTTCCTCTGAATAGTAAAATGTCAAATTGATGGCTATAAACCACAAGAAAATCTTACAAGCCCAGGTGGTGGGGTAATAAGGTGGTAAGCTCTGTTGTGAGCATATAAAAGTAATGCATTCCGGAGAAATGACTCAAGCTGTAATTATAAGCTATCAGCTACAATGCTGGTGTGAATCTCTGATTCATTCAGAATGAGAGTAAGATGTCAGGAAAAGCTTCAAAGAGGAGGATTTGTGGGAATGTGTCAGGGGATCCGGGGAAGGCTAGGAAAGAAACTGCGTTTTTTTAAACTGTTGAAAAAATTCTAAAAGTCCTCTATTACAGAGGCAGCATGACACTATACAGAACTCTCCCTCCAACCCACCTACCCTCAACCGAAGTACAAAAGGTGCCTTTTCTTCCACACTACCCAGACAGAAGTGTCTGGGCAAGCAGTCAGTGTGGCTTAAAGAAGGGGAGTGATGGAAGTTATCTCAGATTCCCACGGATAGTAATCTTCCTCACACCTTACTCCACCCTCTAACTGGATTTGAACTTTGTATCTAATAACAGTTTTCTAAAAGTAGAGTACTAAAAAGAAGCCTATGAACTAAGACACTCAGGCATGTTTTAAGATAGTACTTTATGCCAGAATTTTAGAAAAAGCCAGAATGTTAGTGTTTGAATCCCTTCTGCCACTTATTAGCAGTGACCTATAGTAAGTTACTTAAAGTCTTACGTTTGCTTCTACATCAAAAAAGTGAGATGAAACTAGTATCTACTGAGCAGCGTCGTTAGGAAGGACGTGTGAAGCGCTCAGACCAGTACCTGACATAAAGGGACTTCTGAAGAATTGTAGCTTATTATTATTATTAGCAAAAAGCCCATCTTATTTTAAAAAGTCCTTGAGCACATTCATATAATCTGACCTGGTATCGCAAATTATTTACCTTAATGAGACCATCTCCTTGGGCAAAGCACGGATCCTGCACAAAATCAAGCACCTGAAGTGTCAGCTGATGCCACAACCTGAAAAACATACAGCCCTTAAGACCTCTAACCTAATATCCAGTCACAGACACTTTCAGCCTTGATGATCCTATCAAGTCACAAATATAGGTTGGGTATCTCTAATCCAAAACTCCAAAATTCAAAATGCTCCAAAATCGAAAACTTTCTGAGCACCAACGTAAGGCTCAAAGGAAATGACCATTGGAGCATCTCAGATTTCAGATTTTTGATTCATGGATACTGAATGGGTAAGCACATATCGAAAATATTTCAAAATCCGAAAAAATACTAAATCCAAAAAACTTTTGCCCCAATGCATTTCTTTCTTCTTCTTTCCCTTTTTTTTTTTTTTTTTTTTGAGACAGAGTCTCACTCTGTTGCCCAGGCTGTAGTGCAGTGGCACCATCTTGGCTCACCTCCCAGGTTCAAGTGATTCTCCTGCCTCAGCCTCCCGGGTAGCTGAGATTACAGGCATGAGCCACCGTGCCCTGCCGCCCCAATGCATTTCTGGTAAGAGATGCTAAATCCATACTAACCAGTCTCTACTGTGTAGTAGAAAGAAAGCTAAAGCAGATGCGATAAACCTGAGTTCTTTTCCTGGCTCTGCTGTTGAATGGCTATGTCACTTTGAGATCACTTAACTTCTCTCTAAGACTCAGTTTTCCCGGGTATGAAATGGAGAACATTATTCTAGATTACCTCAAAGGGTTACTATGAGGTTTGACTGGAAACGAGAACTGTGGAATCATACATATCTACCTTGAGATTCTAGCTCTTCTACCTATTAGCTGAGTATCTCAGGGAAGACAATTAAAATGAGCTTCAGTTTCCTCCTCTGTGAAAAGGATAAATAAAGGATTAAATAAGCTAATATATAAAACCTCCAGGACAGTGACATAGCGCTTCATCCAAAACCCAAAGGCTAATATTTAATAACGCATATGAAATGCTTTGAAAATTACCAAGTGCTATCCAACACAAACCATTCTTTGCCAAACATTAATTTGGTCTCAAAAACTGCTAATAGCAGAAGGCTGCTGAATGCTAAACATCATCAAAACATGTATGGGACATCTATGTGAAAGGTATTATATTAAATGCTAGGGTTAACAGGGAGGTTACTACAGGAGATGTATTTTCTATGGAATAGCTCCAGCCCAATGCCAGCAATTTACCCTATCATTTTAAAAGGAGATTAGTGCTTAGCAACAATTTAATGGCTCTGCAATTCATCCTGTTTCTAAACAAACTTAAACTTTAAGATCTTTCTAAGGGCACAAAGCCCAGCGAGAAATACAATGGAAGGTAAAGACAATGGGACGGGGGAAGAGGTTGCACCCCGTGCAACCAGTTGCAGAATGAATAGGGAAGAGAGCAAAGCTGCACTAGCCTCTGGTTTATCAACTCCAGACCATGAGAAAGATAACTGTGGATACAGTTACACCATGACAAGGCTAAGCACGAATCACCAAGATCTGTTTCTCAAAGTGGGTGGCAATATGGTCCTGAAAGTGTGTTTGCTTGTTTCGCTGGAATAAAGAGCTAAAAGCAAAGGCTTTCCCTGAACCGTCTTAGTAAGACCCGAGGTACAGGAGTTCAGAAGCCTCAGTCACAGTCCCTCGTTAGGGAAGCACTGAATCTCAGACCCAAATATCCTGGTTACGGCTCTTGGCCCTCGTGGTCTGTCATCCTTCTTATTCCTCGACCCTGCCACTCGGGGTTCCTCAGCAAACCCTGCCGGCACAGCCAGTCGCCACACGTCCCCGTTTCCCCCCAACTTGGGTCTGGGCGCCCTCAGCCCATCGAGGGCCCGCTTCTCCGCCCGCCCGCCCCCTCCGTCTCCCCCTATCGCCGGGGCCCAGGACCCGTCTGCTCGGAGCTCACTTCTTCGTGTAGAGTTCCTCCAGACGGTGCCACACAGCGGGCTGTCCGGGCCCGGAGCTCTGGCTCTGCTGTAGGAAGCCCGGTACGTCCTTCATGACAGCAAGAAGACCCCCGGCACAGAACAACCGGGATGTCAGCCCCGCGGGGATGTCTGCCGGAAATGCTCACTCACTTCCGGCGCCGCGCGGCGCGGGGCAGGCTGGGAGCGCCGTACCGGCCGGGGGCGGGGCCCGCTGGTTGCCTGGTAACCGCGCATGTCTGCGCTCCGGACAAAACTGTCCGGCGTTTGCAGCCCACTTCCCGCGCACCTGGTTGTGCCACTGAGGCTTAAAAAGTATGGGTGCCTGTGGTCGAACCGGCCATGGACTAGCTTTGTGGTGTCAGCCTTTGTGACCCGGAATTGCTCCTCTCAAATGACCTTCCCAGTAGGGTCTTGCGAGGACTAGGTGTAAATATAATGCCTGACCATAGTAAAAGCGCTCAGAAAGTATTAACTGTCACCGCCATCCGGGTTGAAGAAGGTGTGAGCGCAGGGTACAGAAATGCTGGCTCCAGGTTTGACCTCCTGGGCGAGAGGTCAGACACCAGACTAGGGAACTTCCTCTACTCGGCCTCAGCGTCTACCAGGTCGCGCCGGAGGCGTGGACACGGAGGCGGGGCCGGGAGGCGGAGGCGGGGCCGGGAGGCGGAGGCGGGGCCGGGAGGCGGAGGCGGGGC